ATTCACATAAGCATTTTATGTGTACCTTAATGAGAAAGTCAAATTAGCTGAAAGTGTGTCTAGTCTGTAGTCCTTTTTTTTTTTATGACTTTTTAATTTGTGAGAAACTCAAAGGGCAAAAATGCCACACACATTTTATTGTTGAGTAAAGAACCACTTCATCATTTAAACAAATTTAGTATTCTTTTGATAGCAGTTTTCTACAATTGTAGCACTGAGCCTGTCAGTTTTGCTGAAACGCTGCAACATTGCAAGGTAGCTTTCTCTTGTAGAAAGTTCTGACACTGGAACCCTCACTTCCTCATTGCGTTTCCTACAGTTTATAGATAATTGAGATTATTACTCAAGGGAAAAACTACTACAAGAGAGTCTGAGAAATCCTCTTAACTATTTGATGTCCCCAGTAAAGTCCTTGCTATGTGTTTGGGTTTGGGGAATTGCATCTCTGAGCTGAAGTGTGTGTGTGGTATTGTAAGGGTATATGAAGTGGCCACAGACTACAGGAAGACTATGTTGTCTTAGTGAACTAAATTCTCTCCAATTCCAGTTTCTGTGTTTTCTCCTCAAAGAGGGGTTACAGAAAACGGCAGTGAGAAGGCTTCAGGGTTGGTTCAGAGTACCTTGAAATAGCTCCTCACCTGTGAACTTCACTGTTTTTAGATGAATTGATCAAATAGTTTCTCAAGAGACATGAGTCCTACCACACTCTCTCTCTCTCTCTCTCTCTCTCTCTCTCTCTCTCTCTCTCTCCTCCTACACTAGTTATGTGACACGGAAGCTAAGGTGCTATGTCCTCTCTGACAATGCTTTTCATAAGCTTGACATGGCCCCAACCTCTTTACTCTATTTAGAATGCCAGTACTTCTAGTTTATTCCTGAACTTTTAGAGAATGTCTAAAAAGCACTGCTCAGAATTTAGAACCCCAAACTATATGCTGAGGTAACCAACATTATTAAGTTTTGTGGCATTCAGACACAAGAATTCTGTTTCCATTTTGGAGCTCTTGTGCCTCTGAGGCCTGTATTGTTTGGTTGTTGGTTTGTTTTTTTTTAAATGTTTGGATGTCTAAGTAGCTGGATCCCTCAAAGAATTAGTTTGGCACTGGCTGCAATACTGCATGAGCCAGATGCGTGCACATCTGTAAAGTTCAGTGTGATGATGTGAAAACAATCTCAAAGACAGGGTAGAACAAGCAGATGTCAAAACTGTAACACAAAGTTCACGTAAATGCTTCCTTGGTTAGGTGCAAGGACAAGTAAGCTAACCTGGAGATTTAACCATGCACGGGCACATTTACATTCAGTAAAGTTAGACTGCATGCTTTGGTTAATATTTGAGTAGGCAGATTTGCAAGTACTAGTGCATGCAATATTTTTGTACCTGAGGTTATATGCTTTACTCTTTTTTTAATATAAATTTACCTTTTTACAAACATAGGTCAGAGAGTTCATCTATGGACACTCTTTAAAAATATATATGTATATATATGTGTGTGTCTACTTCTTAGTTCAAAATAGTTTACTTCCAGCCAGTTCTAGAAATAGAAAGCAGGGAGACTGCAGTAAGATCAGCAGAGGGAATGAATTGGAAGTGATTTTTGACAAAAGGTGAAATCATGTGCATGTGTAATAATTCCCAAATTAAGAGGCCTCAAAATAATGATGCAGGAATAAATCTTAAGAGTACCCTGTTTCTCAAATGCTCCCCCCAGCATTCCAAGGTGTAAAAGAATAATAACAGCAACAATAACAACAGTGACACCAACCCTTAAGATACAGGCTAACATGGAATTGATTCGGGCACAATGAGGGGGAGACACAGTAAGACCATGCTGCTTTTGCAAGGCTCCCAAGGTGCTCACAAAATCTATGGTAAAGAGATTGGGAGCCGTTGTTATAACTGGGATTAGTTTTAAATGTGCCCAAGTCTTGCTTGTATAGAATGAACCAGAAATATTTATCTAGTGCTAACATTCAGACAAAGGCAAGATTCAACCTAGTAGTTATCTTTATAGAAAAAAAATGAGAACCACATAAAGCTGGAAGTGTGTTCTGGGCATTCCTACCTAGTTCTGCATTAACTATTTGCCATTTTGATAGGAATCCAGACAAGAGAAGACAGTACAGTGCATAGTTTTCCATTAAAATTTTCAGGGTCCAGGGGACAAGATCTGCTTTTCTTTCAGGAGTCTTGGTGAGTGTTCTTGGCAGAATGCAAAGAGAAAGAGGAATGACAATAATTGCCTCAGTAAAGAGGTCCTTTAGTCATTCTCCTCTCACTAAGATACAGCAGCCCATAGAAATACTGCTGCAAATAGTTATGCCACCTTGACACTTAGCAGTGATTACTGGCTTTGTCTGCACTTCCAGCCTGTCCTCTGAGAAGTTAACCGCTCAAACTCTCATCTATGCAAGTGAGCAGATATTGTAGTCAAAGGACTCCATCATCTATGGGCTCTTAAGAACCCCAGAAATCCAAGAAAAAGCAATGCAAACCCTTCTCAGAGGTCCAGGAACCTCAGAAGGGAGCCAAGAACATCCTGCCATTCAGCTGGGAGAAGTAATTTCAAAGACAAGTTCAAGCCCTGAAAATGAGCTGTCAAGAGCAGTTCTGCCAAAAATAATGTTTGTGCATTATGAAGAAACAAGACCAGAAAGCCCCCAAATAATGTATACAATAAAGACTGTTCTAAAGGCTTAATTCTTAATTTTTTTGTGATGCTCTGATTACTGTGTGATTACTATATGATTACTGTTTTTCTTTAAAAAAAATTCTTGGGAATGCAACTCTTTTCCTCTTGGGCAAAGATTCTGAATTTTTTTTTTTTTGCCAAATATGGAAACCGTGGTTCTAAGTGTCACTAAATAGTGGTGGGAATAGAAAATGTCTTTCTCCCCTAAGACAGTTTTTAAAATTCTGGTAAAGTTGCTTCCATAGCAAAACAAGACTTGTACTACAAAAATCTGCCACTACTAAGTAACAAGCAAATGAGACCAACTGATCCGACATTTACATGGTTCAAGTTTCAAACTTCCACCCTTCTCAAGTATGCAGTGCCATCAAAGCTAAGCAAACAACCATCACTATTATTGAAAATTATCTCAGAAAATACAGAATGAGGTCACAAAGAGAACTCTTGTCCAGTCTGAATTCTTGCTGAGGCCTTGAGTGGGTGATTAGGGATTCAAGCTGGCTGATCAGCTTGTGGACAGCACAGGATGTGAGGAGGAAGGAACCGGCTGCCAATGGAGGGTGTTCTATCAGGAATATTTACGTGGAGGGATGGTTTGTTCCCCAAGAGTCCTTCCTCTAAGATTCTAAAGAAGTGCTCTTTTGAAGCTACTGTCGGGCTTTATGATTTGAAATTGGAGGGAGGCAGCTCAGGAACGGTTTGTTGTTTTTGTTGCGTGCAGGTGGGTTGATTTCATCTGATAACACTGCCGCAGTGTGAGTAGAGTGCCCCTTTGGGATTTTCTAGGCTGTAGTCTTTATAGGAGCAGATAACTACGTCTTCTACAGAGATACTGAGTGGGTTCAAGTGGCTGCCAAGCAATTCATTGTTGCCCTGCTGTTGTCCGGCTGCAAATGCCTTAAATGCCTCTGTCTCTACTCCCCAGGTGGGGGCATCACTTTGCCCAGGACTTTGACAGAGACTCTCAAAGCCCCCAGCACAATGCCTTCACCTCTTTTGTTTCTTATAAACCAGAACAGGTTCTCCTGCATCAACCTCAAGGAGTAATGGTCCTATCTTAATTCAAGCCCCTCTCCTCCTCCATCTCCTAAAACCCCAACCCCCAAACCCACTCATTGCCTTTGAAGCAGTGACTCTTTCTGAAGGAGACTGTCTATCTTTCTCCCAAGGAGCAGCTTGTGGATTCCAACCACTGACCTTCGAGTTAGCAGCACAGGTAACTCAGTACACTACTACAGCTGCTTACCCATCTCCTTATGGTTGGGAATGAAAACATGACACAAAAGCCTTCTATCTGCCCCTAGAGTTCAAGCAGAAGTTAATTTACCATCAACTGAACTCACTTGGCCCAAATATCTATTTGTGACTCACATAATGTCTTCATCTAGTTGCCAGTTACTCACTAGTATCATTACTGGGAGCTCTGGTGGCATAGTCATTAGCAAATTGGGTCTCTAACTAACCTAAAAAGAGTGCCCTGAACCCATCAGCAGCTCCTTGGGAGACAGATAGGCAATGGGCTCCCGTGTGATTTACAGCCTCCGACAAACCATTGGCGGGTCAGCTATGAATCAGTTTTGAATTCACGGCAATGAATTGAGTTCTGTACTACTAACCAAAATGCAAGGGGCTGACTAGTTTGGGGAAAATTTCTGGAGGAAGGAAGGTGATAAAGATAAATGAGGGCAATTAGTCATTGGTTAAAAAACCCCCATATTTTGGCCAGCATTTTGCAAATCTATATATTTTTTAAAATGAAAGCTTTCAAAATAACCCATAAGCTCCAAACACACTTAAAATACTCTGAAGAACTAAACAGACTGTGACCCTTTAAAAGAATACTATTGCTATCAGAAAATTCTGGCTACTCAACCAACATTCAAAATAAGAGCCACGGTGGCATGCATCATATTCATGTCAAACTCCTGGCATTTAATGACCTTGTTAAAAAACATGGATCTTCCATCACTTAGAGTGCAAAGGAGAAGAGCAGCACAGATTACAACAGAACTAAGGGGACAATTTATAAGAAAAAGGTATTTCTCGTTTGTAAGAAATAGAATTCAAAATATTAAACGTTGACAAGGAATCAAAGTGTGCAGGGCAGTTAGAAAGCCAGTCCATGGTGTCACCTAAGCAAGCAAATGTGAACCCACAGAAGTCACGACGCCATCCATCCACCTCCCTGTAGCGAGCACGTGAAGAGATGGCCCTGGGTCTCCTTGCTGAAGTCCGTACAGAATGCATGTGAACAGGATCTGCATTTGACATATCTGCACTCTATGAAAACACACTTGCAAAACCTTACACTATGAAAAACTATTTTCAGAAATATTTGGTCCCTTGATCTGACAAGGCTGAGTTCGCAAATCTTTCACCCTCCCAAGTTAAAAATTGGAGCAACAAAACCAAACTCCAGCAAGGCATAAATGAGATAGGAAAGTGCCTATGTACAGTCCCAGAAAAGTTTCAATTGGGAACAGCAAAAATTCCTAGTGCAAAAATTGCTTTAGCCAGCAAAGCTCCCTCTCTGGAATCCAAGGACTACAGTAAAAGTGAAAACTGGAACAGGTTTAAGCAATGCTGCTCTTTAGTTGAGAGTTAATATACGTGCATGCACCAATGGTCCAAACTATGCTCGATTCTGCAAGAGGGGAAGCCTGGGGGACAGTTCAGAAAGTCAGTCTTCCATGAGCTGAGGCAGTGCTTTCTCCATGAACAAGCTCCTTAGATGCATCATCAACTGCAACTGGAGACCAAACCCCCCAAAGCGCATCTTTGAGCTTGTGGAAAGAATGCGCACGCACAGTCACTTCCTCTTGCTTTGTCTTCCTCTCCCAAGCCTCATTTTAAGCCCAACCTTAACTCTATATACAACATTTTGTGCTTTTGGACCTGAACAGAAACTGTAGGAATTCCCTTGGGTTATAGGACCATGACCTTCTGAGCATTTGATCTATCCCTTTTTGAAATGCGTAATAAAATAGTTTAGTATTTCTCAGGACAGTTACACAGATGAGGGTGGCTGTGGTGGTTTGTCCTTCAAGGATCCAAGTTGAAAGCTCTCAGGAGGACGTCCAGGTCACCCAGATTCGCTGCCTGAAAGAGCTCCGGCTGGTCCATCAGAGACAGCGCAATCCTGAGGGCAGCCCAGATGTTCCCAGAAATCGCAGGATGGGGAACTTGCTGCTGATTTCTGCTCTTCCTTTGCAGGCTGAGGGCAGTGAGAAAATTGCTGACCGCTTCTCTATGGAGGTAGAAAAAAACAACACAACACAACAAATCAAACACATTTGAAAATGCAAATGATTTCTAATGTAGTTGTCCTAAGGAGTCAGGAGGGTGCAGTGGTTAAGTGCTTGGCAGGTTGGCAGCTGGAACCCACCAGCAGCACTTTGAGAGAACCATGAAGCTGGCTGCTTCCATGCAGACTTTCAGCTTTGGAAAGCCTAGAGAAGTCTGGGGACCCCAAGGATGCTCTGACAATCTAGTAGGCAAGGACTTGAACAGCCAACCCACATGCAGGCAGTTCAAATGCACTAGCTGCTCCAAAGGAGAAAGATGGGATGTCTCTTACTCTGTAATCTATAGTCTCTGAGAGCTTACTGGAGAGTTAAGTATTACATAAATTAAAAGGCTGAATAAAGTGAAGCTGGATTTCTGATTCTAGGATTGTGGCACTAGCCATTTGCTCATTTATATGGTTAGATTTGCCTGTAAAGAGAAGAAAGTGGATGTGGCAACTTGGAGGGTCAGCTAAGTTGGCCCTGACTTGATGGCACATAACAACCACAACAACATGGAGCAACTCTGCGTGGTCCTATAAGGTCCCTGTGAGTCAGAATTGATTGATTGGATAGCAATAAATTTAGCTTTTCTTTTTTTTTCCTAATTTTCTACTAGTTATTTACAAAATTTGAATACACTGTTTTTAAGAACAAATTATTTCCATTTCCCTCATCCCCCATCTTACAAATTCTTTTTTTAAGTCAAAAGTCTGAAGGAAGCTCTGGTCGCTGTCTGTAGAGATTTGCAGTGCTAATGGAAAGGCCGCCTTTCTCTCGTGGTTTCCATTCACCAGTGTCTCCGAGGCAGAAATCCCCTCTCTTGTGACCTAGAGAGTCAGAAACCAGCTGGAGGGTCAGGTCAGCTATAATTCGGAACCTACTTCACAGCAATGAGCAGCCATAGCAGGAGAACCCAATATTGAAACACCTCTCTGTGTTGTTTTATATGGTCTGTTAAACAATTTTTTTTTTAATTTTAAGATAAGTGTTAAATAGAGTGAAACGAGAAAGAAAATACCTCCCACTTAATTTTAGGAATATTGTTAATACATGGAAGGGGAAGGAAAGAAAAAGCCCACTGCTCTCTCGTTAGCTCCATTAGACCTCCGGAATGGTAAATCTTTACGGGAGGGTATTGTCCGTCTTCCTCCCACAAAGTAACTGGGGCACTTGAACCACCAGCTTTTCAGTTAGCAGCACAACATACAATATTCTACGATGCCAGACCTCCTTGGGAGGGGATGATTACTATTAAAATCATTATAAGCTCAATAAATACATTTGATGTTTCCCTGCAACACCAAAGTGTTGAAGAGTATCACTCACTGGAGCTCTGGTTGCCTAGTGGGGAAAGAGTTGCACTGCCAATCCAAAGGCAAGCAGTTTGAATCTCCTTGGTTAAAAGACAGGCAAGGTCTCCCTCTGCAATTTACAGCCTCTGAAAACCCAATGGAGGGTCAGAACTGAGTCAATTTTGGCTGAACAAAAACTACTACTACTACTACTACTACTACTACGATTCCTAGTTATTTTTTTCCTTTTTAAATTGATATTTTAATGAAAGTTTACAGAAAACTTGGATTTCCATTCATCCATTGTTGCACATTTTCCTTCTTCTCTTTATTATTATTACATTTTTTTGGCTGGCTGGAATTTTTAAAATGTTTTTATTTTATACTTACTTATTTACCAAGTTTGAATACATTGTTTTTCCACAAAAGATCCTTCTTATTTCCTTAACCCCTCCACCCATCAAATTGTGCAACCCTATGATTAACACCTTTCCCCCCACCCAAGCTCACCCCTCTGCTTCCACCCTCCCCCACTCCCCTTGGATCCTCATACTCATGCTACAATAATGGTTTTATACAGTATTTGTCCTTGTGGGACTGAGTTAGTTCATTCAGCATAATGCTTTCCCTTCCAAATTAAGTAGTAATTTACAAAATCATTGCTGCTTTGTGCTGTGTAGTATTCCATTGTGTGAATGTATCTCAACTTCTCAATCCATTTGTGGTTGGACATCTCAGCTGATTTCTAGTTAATTTGTTGAATATTTGCTTAAATAAAAAGCTTGAAGAAAGTGAAGCTGGATTTCTGATTCTAGGATTGTGACAGGAGACATGTGCTCATTTATATGGTTAGACTTCCGTGTAAAGAGAAGACAAGTAGGAAATGGGTATGGCAACTTGACCAATAGAATGATGTGGGAGTCTAATTACCACTTTTCTGAGTTTCTACAAATTAACCAAGAGAATAAAAACTTCAAAGAGATGCAGATGGGAAGTGCACTTTGGATCCTTCATCACAAGTTATAAGTTCCAGTGGTGATGACTTTGGGATTCCTTTCATATTTCAAGTGTATAGGAACATGGGCCTGATGGTGACTGGATCATCGATTACATAACAGATGGAGAAAGGACTGGAGTTGTCAAAGACTTCATTTTAACTGGATGTACAATCAGTATCTACGGTAGTAACAATCAAGGAATTAAAAAAATGTGTTTCACTGGGAAATCTGTGATCAAGGACCTCTTTAAAGTGCTAGAGAGCAAGGATATCAGTTAGGGTGTGTCTGATCTAAGCCATGTTATTTTCTATTGCTTTCTATACACATCTGAAAGCTGGGCAATGAATAAGGGTGATGGAAGAAGAGTTGTTGCCTTTGAATGTGGTGTTGTTGAAGAGTACTGAATATCTCATGGACTACTAAAAGAAAAAAACCAACCAAATAAACAAAACCCAACCACTACAAAATCTGTGTTGGAGGACATGCAACCAGGGTGTTCCTTAATGGAAAGTATAGTGAAACTTCTCATACACTTTGAACATGTTGTAAGGAGAGGTCAGTCTTTGGAGAAAGTCACTGTATTCAGAAAGACAGAGGGTCAGAGAAATAGAGGAAGACTCTCAACAAGATGTTCTGATATGGTGGCTGTCAGAATATTGCTGTCAGCTCCACAGAACATGATTGTGATCAGTTAAGGTTTTGGTTTTGGAGAGTAGTAGAATAGTTTGGTCACTCTTACTACATTGCCAAATAGACTTCACGATTTTCATGAAAATAGTCCTCATGACCTATTTTGTGAATAAAGGGTTCTTTTACAGACTCAGAAAGTATGTGTGTGTATAATTTTTAAATGCTGTGCATGTATACAAATGTTGTTGTATACATATCCATATGTTGTTGTGTATTGAGTTGGAACCAATTCATAGCTGACCCTCCAGCAACTTTTCACACATTAATCACCAAGAGGAGACTGTCCATCCTCCTGCAGAGCAGCTAGTGGATTCAAACTGTGTATCTCTGGGATTACAGTGCAACTTCTAATCACTAGGTCACCAGAGCTCCTAATATATAGATATATAGTTTTAAATGATATATATTGTCACAAAACATATTCATCTTAAGGGAGCTCTGGTGGCCTAGTGGCAAAGAAGCTGCAGTGTAGTCCCGAAGACATGTGGTTCGTATCTTCCAGATGCTTTGCTGTAAAAGGAGGGGCAATCTCCTCCTGTGCCTACTGGATCCAATTCGACAATACACAACAACAACAACATATTAATTTAAAAGTTTCCCTCTTTATATTAATATTAAAAATACTAATATAAAGGTGATGAAGATAAATCTATTATTTGTTTTTCTTTTCATTTACAAGGGGTCCTCATTATTGAAACGTTAAGATTCATTGGTTTAAGTTCTACTTTAGACTTCCTAAAGATAGGACATTTTAAGCTACATCGAAATTTTATATCAACAAGTATCCTCTTATAGTTTTAACTGGCTATAATTGTCTGATACGACATGACTTTTTGACTCTTTGTGGAAAATATGAGATGATAATCAGCAACTGTTACAGCTACATATACAGACATCTGGTGTTGATGAGGGAGAGGTCCTGAGTTTTGTGGATAAAAAAAATTTTGTACCCCACATGATTTTCTTCTGAGCCGAATCTTTTTTGAGGGGTGTTATTTCCAAAGCATACACTTATTTCTTTTCAGAATTCATTTAAGTTTTATGTCTCACTTGATGGTCTTTTTATTCTCGGGAAAAACACCAACTGTTCATCACTTCACAAGATTTCTAACATATGACATGACAACATAAGGCCCACAAAGCTGAGTCGAGATGTTCTTAACTAGCCAATTGATCTGGGTGGCTGGATTTAGCAAATGAAAATACAGGATACCCACTGAAACCTGATTTCAGAGCAAACAAACTCAGCTGCACTCACTGCCAATAATTTGCAAACAACTCATAGCAGACCCTCCAGTGGGGTTCAAGAAGCTGTCAATCACAAGGAAAGAGATTACCTGTGAGGAATTTTAGATACACAGTAAATGACTTTTAATATAAGTATATCCCATGAAACAGGCTAGAGATGCTTAAAATGAGGTGGGGGCTTCTACTGGTCTTTCAGTTCCTTTAGTCTTTTTTTTTCTATAATTATATTTTATTAATTTTCATAAACATTTACAGAGATTTTGGGTTTCCATTCATTCATTGTTGCACTATTCTCTCTACCCTCCTCCCAGTTTGTTCTTGTCCAAATGCCACAGTGCTTGTCAAAGCCAGTTCTGATTAATCTTCTTTGTCAGTGTGTCCTTTGCCATTCCCTATCACTAATCCCTGAGAGAGACTTCACCCTGAGTCATAAGGAAAAGGGGATGGCGTATTCTCTTAGCTACTTCCTGCTGAAAAGGGACGCTGTGGGTTTCAGGGTGAAGATCTTCTCTCACTACTCTAAAGGGCCCCTTTGGCAGTAGGAAACACATAGACTATTATGGAGATTGATTTTGGAATTTAGATGCACTCATATTGATTGTGCTTGGCTGTACATGTTCATATCCTTGAAGATGTATCATGGGGGTGTTGCAACCTAGAAGACACAAATTTGACTAACAAGTTATAAGTACATGAGTCAAAAATTATGGAAAAGTAAAAGAAAAGATTCTT